CCAAAACCCCGGCTCCTGGCTACTGTCAGAGGCAACCTACTGGGCAGGTCTCCGGGGAACGGGGTGTGGGCGCGAAAAGCTCAGGCTCCCACAGCTCGAGCCTGTCACCGGATCCCCGGGCATGGACCCCGTGGGGCAGTTGGGCTGGGGCGGATAGGCAGGGCCGCTCTCCCCCTCTCCAGGCGCGGCCCCGCCCGCCACCGCCACTGCATTCCTGGGGACGGGGAGGCCCGGGAGGCGGCGGCGGCCTCGATGCGAAGCAGATGGCGCACAGGCCGGCCCCCGCCCCGGAGGCGGAGCTCGCAGCGGGGAGGGGTCTGCGCGCCTCGGGATTCCAGCTCGGAAACCCCGCGCGGCCCCCTCACAGCCCCTTGTCTAAGGCGCCCGCCAAGCCCCCGGACGCGGCCTCCCCTGGCCCTGCGGCCCAGGGCGCCCCGACGGGACGCAGGCCGGACGCCGGGGCCGCGCGCGGCGCCCCCCAGCGCGCGCCGAGGCGCCGCTCACACCAGCTTCTGGCCCCGCGCGCAGATATCCTTGACTTCGCTGTGGCCTCTGACCCGCCGAGCAAGTCCTTCGACCCCTGCGCCCTGTCCTTCGCTCTTCGCCCCCCGGCAGGGCCTGTCCCTTGCCTGCCCCCCACTGGCCTCCCCGGCCGGCCCCTCGCGGCGCTCCGGGCAGGGCACCCAGTGCCCCAGCCCGGGAGTTTCAGTCTCCCGATCCCGGCGCACGTGACTGTCCTTTCAGTTCCCGCTTCTGGTCCATTCTGAGCTCAGGCCCCTCAGTGCCCACGTCCATCACCGTCTTCCTCCCGCCCGAGTTGTCTTTCTGGGACACAAATCAGTCCTTCTGGGTCTCACCTGCCTCAAAACCTCCTCGGCGCCCACCTCCCTGGAGCGCCGCTCCATCGCCCCTCCGGTCTCGCGCCGCAGTAGTGCCCGCAGGCTTTGCACATGCCATTCCGTCCGCTCGGAATGCCCTTCCCCGGCTTCTCCCCACGGCCTTCACGGAGCACCCAAGGGGCCCTGTTTCTAGGTGTGAGATCTCCGACACCGGGTGTCACCCCTCCGGTGCCCACGGCTCTGTCCTCCCCCCGGCCGACGTCTCGCGCGGGGTATCCTCGGATGCACCGTCGTGGCCCGGCGCCCAGCCCCGGCCTGCAGCGGAACCGGCGTCGGCGAGGGCGGCCGAGGGGTCCGGCGCGTTCGGCGCGGGGAGGTCCCGGGCGCCCCCTCCCGCGGCCCCTCCCCCCGCCAGGCCGCGCTCCTACCCGGGCGCCCGGCACACGTTGCGGCCGCGAGGGTTCAGCTCCTGGGGCGCCGCGGGGCCGGGCAGCAGCCAGAGTAGCAGCAGCAGCCGCGGGTCCCCGGCTCGCCGGCGCCGCGCCGGCCCGGCCCCCCGGGGCCCTGCGCCCTCCATGCGGCGCGGGGCAGGCGCGGACGCGGGTGCGGCCGCAGGGAGAGCGGCCGGAAGCGGAGTGCGCGGCCGGGCGGGGGGCGGCAGGAGGGGCGCCGAGCCGGGCAGGAAATTCCACATCGGCTCCCTGATCCCGGGCCAGCCGCGGCCGGCCAGGCGGCAGCGCCCGCCCCGCGCGCCAGACCCCACCCTCCGGCCGCGCCGCCGCCCCTCCGCGCGGCCCCCGCCCCCACGCGGCCGCTCGCAAACTTGGGGCGAACTTGGCGGAGGTCCCCCGATTGTGGGGGCGGGAGGAGCCGGGGGGGCGCGCGCGAGGAATCCCCGTCCCCGCGGCTCTCCCTCCCCGCACCCCGACACCCACTGGAGAAGCCGCCCAGCGCGCTCCCTGCGCGGCCAGGCCCCGGTCGGGAAGTGGGATGGCAGACGAGAGCGCGACGCACCGAAGTCCCCCATGATCCCAGCGCCTGGGAACCGGCCGGCGAGGCCCACAGCCAGCCTCTGTCAAGACCGCACGCCGGCCTCTCTTCTCCCCACCCCGCGAGGCCCTTGTCGTGCTGGGCTGTGCGGTCAGCTGCTCCTGCGCACTTGGCGCCATCAAAGCCTGCAGAGGCCCGCGCGGGATGCTTGAGGCCTGGGGAGACTCGGTCTGCACCGGAGGCCGGGCGAAGGGGTCTCTGCAGGGGCGGATTGGACAGATACGGGGGGAGGTAGGATGGCCTAGCCACCAGCTCTGGTAGATGCGGAGGTAAACGGACTGAGATCCTGCGGCCCTTGTCAAAGGCGAGAAGGGCCCGGCGGGGCCAGGGAGAGGGATGCTGCTCGAGAAGGCTGTCGGACCACCGGAGGGGAAAGTCCAGGAGGAGGCGGAGGAGAGGTGGGGGGGCCGTAGGGAGCAGAGGCGGGCAGGGATGAGAGGGATGATGGGGGCGGAGTGGGGTGGCAGGATGGAGAGGAAAGGGCCCAGGGGACCAGGAGGAAGAGGAACTCTGGGCCTAAGGAACAGATGGATGCCCAGTGCTCCGCGGGGCAGACCCCACCCCCAGGGCCCATGGAGCAGGGAAGGTGGGCAGGCCTGGGATGGAACAAGAAGTGGGGCGACCAGGTTCCAGTGAAGATAAGCTTTCCTTTTGCAGACTTGGAAGTTGGCAGGAGGGCCTGAGCAGGGAGGGACCTGTCTTCTCTCAGAAAGCAGGCCGCTGAGGGGTGAGACGGGGGTCCTTTCTCGGTTTATATGGAGGGCCGGCCGGAGTAGGTGGAGCTGGAAGAGGCGGCTTGGAGCAAGGGCCACTGAAAGGTCAAGGGTGTGGGCACCCAGGCTGGCTGGGCTGGAGGCATCCAGAGCAGGCTGGCAAAGGGTGTGATGGAGCTTCGGAGGTGAGGGCCCCTCAGCCATGCTAGGGCAGGAGGACGGCCAGAGGCAGGCGACAGCTGGCTGGACTGAGAGGGAAGCGGCACCCGGGTGATCACAAATGGAAACACTTCTTGGGACAAGTAAACAGGCCAACCACTTCTGGGCAGTTCCGTCTGGGCATGGCCTGAACTCAGCAGTGCCCTCCCAGTGCCGGGGCCCCTCCCGGAGCAGCCTGTTGGCCACCAGCACAGGAGGCAGCAGCGGCCCGCGTGGCTGCAGTGTCTGCCCAGCAGCATGTGACCGCCCAGCTCCTGGCTCTAGAGGCACTTGCCCCAGCTGGACCGGGTTCATGAGCAAGTGCTTCAGACTCCACCACCTGCCCCTTAAATTCTCACCTCTGTGAAGGGCGTGAGCTGAAGACGCCCCCGCTCCACACCATCTCCAGGACCTCCTGAACATCCAAAATCTCCACCCGCTCCCACCTGTGTATCACCCAGAGTAGTCTTCCCAATTTCACATCTGGCTGCCCCCTAGCAGTAAAACCGTCCCCTGCCTTGTCTTACACAGACCCCCCGCTGCCTGCATGTGTCCCATCACGGCCACCTTGCAGTTGAGGTCAAGTTCAGGTGTCAAGGACAGGGTCCATGTCTGTCCCAGCCACCACACCACTATCTTGAGACTGAGAGGTGTGGGTGGAGTGAGGGAATGGCCTGTGCTTGGCCTGGTGCCAGGTGTATATGAGGAGGAGGGAGCTGTGGGGTCACAGGCACCCACAGACAACTGACCACCACACAGACAAACTGGGAGCCTAGTTCTGGCCAAGATCGCTTCCCAGAGGAGACTGACTTTTGCAGGCAGGAAGGGATGAGCAACAAGCCAAGCAAAGGCCTGAATGCAGGGCCTGAGCCTGTCAAGCTGGTGAGCCTGGCCGCGTGGGCTCAGAGGGAGGTCTGGGAGGGGCAGCCATGAATTCAGGCTGGGCCTCGAGGCTGGACGGTGGCAGCACCAGGCTACTGCCCAGCTCTCGGGACCCCTACAGGGCCCCATGCTGTGCTGGGCTTTCCAGACTCTTCCCGCCTCTCCTGCAGACCAGAGGTCTCCTGCAAGGCTGTGGCTGTACCTTGGTGGCTCTGGGTACAGAGGTAGCACTGGTGAGCTTGGTACACACTGGGGAGATTTGCAGGGCAAGGGGTGGGGGCAGCACTTCTGGTGCTTTTCCTTCCCCAAAACCTCTGAGGTCTATGGGAACTGTTGCCCTAGACATGGGGTGGTGGCAGGGACAGGAAGCACTGGATTCTCACTTCACCATTGGGAGCACATGACACTGGACAATGTGGCCATCCTTTCTCATTGGAAGTGACCCACCAGGGTCAACACTGGGTTTGCTACCCAGAATCTACATGCTGTCACACTGCATTTAGGGAAAGGGGCCATGTTTCCTTGGATACCCTGGGAGAGCAAGGAAGGTCACAGACACAGCCCTGAGGGACAGTGACTCCCACTAGCTTCACCCCCACCTCAAAGGAAAGCCCAGAGCAACCCACTGCCTGTGCCTCCCCACCCACTTTCTCCCAGCAAGTAGCCCTCCCTTCCTCTCTGCTCTCCTCCCACCCACAGAGGGGCACCATGCAGCCAGCTCTGGGCAAGGCACCAGGGGAGAGAGAGAAGACCCAGCCCCCAGCTGACCAGACAGGACAGGGCCTTAGGAAGTCGTCTGGTGTGCAGGGTGGTGCCCATCAGGAGAAGGGGAGGGGACAGGTGGAGCAGAGGCTCAGCTGCTGCTGGAAGCCCCCAGGGGTCCCTTGAGCAGATGTGCTAAGGACTTACCTGGCAAACCTATAGGAGATGCAGCCCCCTTCCCCGTGACTGCCCTTGGCAGGTGCTGGGGCTCGTTCCCTGAACCTCGGGATGTGCTTTACTCGGGGCCCAGAGATTGCTAACTGGGAGCTCAGAGAAGAGCTCCTCACCAGAAGATGCCCAGGCTGGCCAGGTGACCATCTGTTCCCAGAATGGGGTGGGTTTCCCGGTGACACTCTTCTACTCGGAGGAGCCCCGTGCTTCCCCTCCCACTGCACTCAGCACTCTGGCCTGGGCCCCAGCAGCTGACCTGGAAACCGGTGCTTCCCAGGGCTGCAGCCTGGCAGACTGTGAAAGGAAGTGAGGCCGTGGCCACAGGAAGACAATTCAAGCCTTTTTGTAAGATGATTTATTTTATTTATCAACAACATGGGGTCAGAAAAGCCCAGCTGTAGGGGATTTCTTACTAGAACCAGTCTCAGGCAACTTTATGATCTTTGCTCCTTCTCCAGCCCTTGCCACTCCCAAATGCTCCAGCCCCTGGCTGTGGGGCGGGTGGCAGGTGCACCCCAGCCCCTCGCCTGGGGAGCCAGTCCCCAGGTCCCCCTAAGAAGGGCACCTTCTCAGCCCAATGGGGGCCAGAACCAGGAAGCAGGGAGGCCAAGCCAGCGGCTGATGGAGCACCCCATCTGGGCTGAGGAGAAGCAGGCCCGGTAACTTCATCAGAGAACCAGAGCCCTTCACGAGCATTTTCCATGGAAGGGTAACCCACCTCTGCAGAGCCTGCACTGCTGCAGGCTGGCAGGCAGGGCGGTAGTACCAGAAGGAAGGGCTGGCTGCCAGTGCCCCAAGGTAAAGGGTAAAGTACTGCCTGGGGGCCCTGCTCCCTCAGAGCCCCCTCCACCCCTTAGACAACAGGCACCTGGACCCTAGTCCTCACTGGAGTTGTCAAACTCCTCCCAGTCAGACACACTCATCACCTCGGAGGCGAAGTCTGGGTCTGCCTGGCTGCGGTCCGGGGTCCCGCGGGGTGGCTCGAGGAGCAGGGAGCGGGGCAGGGTGAGCACGCAGGCCGCCAGGCCGGAGATGGAGTTGTCCAGCTGGGGCCCCTCCTCCCAGCAGTCCTTCTCCACGTCGTAGATGTGCACGTAGCCTGTGCGGCTGCCACGGTTGTGTGAGCGGCCGCCCAACACATAGATCCTGTTGTCCAGCACAGCAATGCCAGGCTCGCCATGCCCCGCTGGGAGCGGGCAGACGGATGACCACTGCACAGATGTGCAGCTGTAGCAGGCCACCTGCAAGCCAAGGCCAGAGTAAAGCTGGCACCTGCTCAGACGGAGCTGCAGGCCTGGCCTGGGCCACCTGGCCAGGGCAGCTCTCGGCGAGGCCCCAGATCACACCAAGGCTGAGGGGCCTGGCCCCTGGAGGAAGGGTTGGGGGCCAAGTTAGACATCCTGTCCCTGGGCTGGGCCGATACTCTGTCCTGCCTGCAGGGCCCTTAGCCAGCCTGCTGTGGCCCCACATGCAGCCCCTCCCAGTCAGTGTGCTGTTACTCCCCACGGCCTGGGGATACTGTTCTCTCCTCTCCACAAGACTGAAATGCACATAGACACCAATGGACCCCATGGACAGTCTTTACCTTCTCCACAGTACCCAACACCACGGGGATGTGCAGACAAAACATGGAAATAGTCACTTGCTGATTAACAATGACCACCAACGTTCTCATCTACAAAATTACCCCAAAAAGTAAACAAAAATATGGAAAAACGTTCAACCTACTAGTAAGCCAAGAACTGCATAACAGGCGTCAGGGACAAAATTATTGACTAGTAGCCACTGGAGGAAGAAAAATCATGGAAGTCAGTGCTTGGGAAGGCACGATGAAGCCAGAGTACTCACATGCCAGGGAAGCAACTGCGTAACATGAATTAAGAGCCACAAAAATCTTACTTTTTGACTGAATAGTCACACCTTTGGTTTTCAAGCTGTGGTAGGCATAAAAATGAGGTTGTCCTGCACCATCCGGGGGACCCGTGTACCTGCACAAGCCCCTGAGAGCAGGAAGGGCAGGTCTGACAGGAGCACTCGGGAGAGAAGGACTGCCCCTGCCGCCGGCTCTGAGAATGGGGGGCCCTGGGCCCGGCCGGGGCACGCGGCGGCCTCTGGAAGCAGAGAGGCCAGCCGACAGCCGGCAGCGAGACAGGGCCTGCCGTCCTGCAAGCGCAAGGAACTGGATTCTGACAATCTGAGTGAGCAAGGACCCAGGTTCTCCCTGAGGGTCTCTGGGAAGGGAGCAGCCCTGGACACTTGGATGTTAGCCGCGGACACCCATGTCAGACTCATGACCTACAGACAAGAACGTGCTTGTGTTAAGTTGTGATGTTTGTGGCGACCTGTTGTAGCAAGAATAGGTAACTAGGACACTAGAGCTGGTGGTTCTCACCTCCTTGTAGGGGGGTTGCTAAAAAGACTGCGGAGCCCCACCCTGCAGCCTGCAAGCCAGTGGGTCTGGGGCCTGGGAACTGCATTGCTAATGAGCTCCTAGGTGACAGCGATGCTGCTGGTCTGGGACAACACTTTGAAAACCAGGGCACTCACCTAAGGGAAAAATCCCAAACATCTGAAAAGCTCTATAAAGCAAACTGCTCGTTATGTTATTTGTTAATAGCCGAAACTTAAGACCAACCCAGATGACGCATCATTCTGACAAAATTCTGCACAGCAAGGTGGGGGTGGCTATGGAGACAATGTAGTAAACGGGAAAACACCCACGACTAACTGCAGGCAGCAGAATGGATGTTCTTTAAACACAACTGGGGGAAACATGCATATGTAGGAAGACAGAAAAACGGTGGCAGTGGGCTTAATTATGAGTGTTTTTCCTCGCTCTTCTCCATTTACGGGTTCTGCAGTGTGATTATATTAAGTTTGTAAGTTTTTAATAGTAATAAAAATAAGCAAAACTATTCTGTATGGCGCTGTAATGTTGGGACATGTCATTTGTCCAAACCCATAGGATGCTCACCACCAGCGTGAACCCGAATCTGGGTGATAACGTGCGGCTGTGGCAAATCTGTTGTGATAAATGCCCCACTCTGGCAAGGGGATGGTGATGTGGGGGAGGCTGTGTGCTGTGGGGGGTGAGGGGTATATAGGAAACCTGTACTTTCTGTTCAGTATTCCTGTGAACCTTAAGCTGCTCTAAGAAACAAAGGCTGTTAAAAAAAAAAAGGCCACATTGCAATTAACTTTTATCTGCAACTAGAAGGGGCAGGAATAACACGCTGGTCCTGCTCACCTGGTGCACGTCCCTCCTGTAGCCAGCGTCATTGTTGCTGCCCCCAATCACATAAAGTTTGTCCAGGAGGGTGGCCATGCCGTGCCACGCCCGCCGCACGGGCCCCTCGGCCAGCGTGTGCCAGGTGTTGCTGCCTGGGTCGTAGCAGTGCGTCTCTTTTAGGTAGTCCTCCCCTCTGCGGCCACAGGTGATGTACATCTTTCCCTCCAGTGTGGCGCCCGCATGGGCATACACCTGCACAGGGCCACCGAGAACAGGGCAGGCGGGCCATGAGGGAGGCCATGCATACCCCGTAGCTGCCCCACAGCTCTGTCCCAACTTCCCCCTCACAGTCTGACGAGAATGGGCCCTGAATTCTTGCAGGACATACTAGTCACCCACTGCAGCCTCTTCCCAACAGGGGACAACAAGTCTATGGACCCAGAGATGACTGAGCTTCTATAAAGAGGAGCACAACCTTTGTGTTTCCCTTGGCCTGAAAGGGGACCACTGGATGGGGGAACTTGAAGCAGTCAGAGCACAGGTTTTGGAGCCAGGCACAGAGAAGGGACAGCACTTCTAGGAACCCCAGGCCCAACCCATTTTTAAAACCTGTTTGCCTACAGGTAATATCTAAGGATATGGTGAGGAAAAAATGGGCGTGGAAAATCAACCACAAAGACCAAGGCCACGTTAGTGATGGGCACACACTGCAGTGGGAACACAACAGCCTGCCTTTGATTTTGGTCCTCAAGCTCCCATGTGCTTTCTCCCACACCCAGGGGATCCCCTTGCTGCCCAGCTAGCTGGACCCTCGCACTGACCCCTACCACTGCCAGAACCTCCTCTCTCAGAGCCACTTACTTGAACCTGCCCCACCGAAGGCCTTAAACACTGTGCCTACGGGACCCAAGGCAGGGCACTGTGGGTTTTTGGGGTAGGAGAGTCCCACAGCATGTGGAGGCTCCAGGGCTTGTGTTACAGGGCCAGTCACCAGCACTTGGGCTGTGTGGTGGCACAATCAGGAGCTGGAGAGGTGGGCAAGCCAGCAGACAGAGAAGACAGCCGCGGGCAGGCCACACGTTGAGGCGTTGGGTCTTCCCTATCAATGGTGGGAATCTAGGGAGGTTCTGGGTGTTTTTTGTTTTTTAATTTAACTTCTCATTTTGAGGTAGGTGTAGATTCACGGGTAGTTGTAAAAAACAATACAGATCTGGTGTACCCTTCACCCAGAGTGCTCAGTGGTCAGAGACTGTAACTGCAGTACAGTATCACACCCAGCATGCTGACTGCAAGACACAGGACATTTCCACCTCTACTGGGGTCCCTCCTGGGGCCCATTTATAGTCACACCCACTTCCCTCCTACCCCACCCCTTCCCTAATCCCTAGCAACCATTAATCTGTTCTCCATTTCTATAATTCTATCCTTTCAAGAGTGTTAGATGAATGGAATCATGCAGCACATGACTTTTCGAGACAGGCTTTCCACGCCGCCCCAGGATCACCCAGGCCGCTGCGGTGCCCATGCTGTGTCCCTCTTCGGAATGAGTAGTGCCCCTGCTGTGCATGTGCCGCAGTTTGTTTAGCCATTCACCCCTCTCATTTGTTTCCAGTTTCTGGCTGCGACCAATAAAATTGTTATAAATATCTGTATACATCCTGGGCATTTATCTCTATTTCTGTGGGATAAATGTCCAGGATGGCAACTGGTAGGTCATGTGGTAGTTGAAAGTTAACTTTAAAGACACTGTCATATTCTTCCCACGGTGGCCATACCATTTACATTCCCACCAGCAACATACAAACATTATTGTCACTAGAGTTTATTTTAGCCATTCTCATATGTGGTTTTCTCACTGTGGCTTTAATTTGCATTTCTCCAGTGGCTAAAAATAGTGAACACCCTCTTGCATACTTATTTGCCATCTGTATATTCCCCAGCAAAATGCCTCAAGTCTTTTGCCTTCTTTCTAGTGGGTCTATTTGTGTGTGTGTGTTGTGCTATAATGAGTGTTGAAGGTTCTTTATTTATATTAGATACTAGTCCTTTGTTGGATAAGTGGTTTGCAAATATTTTCTCCCCTTCTGTAGCTTCTTTTCATCCTCTTAACAGGGCCTTTCACAGAGCAAGTCTGTAATGCTGACTAACTACAACTTGTCAGCTTTTCTTTCTATGGTTTTTGCCTTGGGGGTCAAGTCTAAGGAACTCACTGCATAGCCCTAGATCCCAAAACTATTTTTTCCCCTAAGTAATAAATAGTTTTACATTTTACATTTATATCTGTAAACCACTTTCAGTTAATTTTTGTATAAGGTGTGAGATTTGGTTCAATGTTCCATTTTTCTTGCCTTCAGATGTCCAGTTGCTCCAGTATCATTTGTTGAAAGGTTATCTTTCTTCCATGCAATTGCTCTGCACCTTTGTCAAAAACCAGTTGGGCCTGTTTGTGTGGCCCTTTCCTGGGCTCCCTTGTTCTGTCCCACTGACCCATATCAATACCACAGTTGTGATTACTGTAGCTGTGTAGTAAGTCTTGACATTGGATACATTAATTCTTCCCACTTTATTCTTTTCCAAAACAGAAGTATTTTCAAAAGGACTTTGCCTTTCCATATAAATTTCAGAATAATCACATTTACAGCTATAAAAACTCTTGCTGGGATTTTGATAGGAATTGATTTAAATGCCATATATCAAATTGGAAAGAACTGACATCTTCATTTTTGAGTCTTCCATCCCAAGAATGTGGTATGTCCATTTATTTATGCTTTATTTCTTTCATCAGCATCTTGTAATTATCAGGCATATAAATCCTATAAATGTTTTGTTAGATTTACACCTAACCATTTCATTTCTCGAGCAACTGTAAACAAACGGTATTGCGTTTTTAATTTCGGTATCCACATATTCATTGCATAAAAAAATACAACTGAAAACTGGACAGCTACATGCAAGAGAATGAAACTAGGTATGTCTAACCCCATACACAAAAGTAAACTCAAAATGGATCAAAGACCTGAATTTAAGTCATGAAACCATAAAACTCTTAGAAGAACACATAGGCAAACATCTCCTGAATATAAACATGAGCAACTTTTTCCTGAATGCATCTCCTCAGGCAAGGGAAACAAGCAAAAATGAACACATGGGACTACATCAAACTAAAAAGCTTCTGTACAGCAACGGACACCATCAGCAGAACAAAAAGGCATCCTACAGTATGAGAGAATACATTTGTAAATGACATATCCAACAAGGGGTTAACATCCAAGATATATAAAGAACTAACACACCTCAACACCCAAAAAGCAAATAACCCAATTAAAAAAATGGGCGGATGATATGAACAGACAATTCTCTAAAGAAGAAATTCAGATGGCCAACAGGCACATGAAAAGATGCTCCACACAGCACTAATTATCAGGGAAATGCAAATGAAAACCATGAGATATCACCTCACACCACTTAGGATGGCCACTATCAAAAAGACTAAGAACAATAAATGTTGGCGAGGATGTGGAGAAAGGAGAACCCTCCTACACTGTTGGTGGGAATGTAAACTAGTTCAACCATTGTAGAAAGCAATACGAAGGTTCCTCAAAAAACTAAAAACAGAAATACCATTTGACCTGGGAATTCCACTCCTAGGAATTTATCCAAAGAATATAATTTCTCAGATTCAAAAAGACATATGCATCCCTATGTTTATTGCAGCACTATTTACAATAGCTAAGATATGGAAGCAACCTAAGTGTGCACCAGTAGATGAATGGATAAAGAAGATGGGGTACATATACACAACGGAATACTATTCAGCAATAAGAAAGAAACAAATCCTACAATTTGCAACAACATGGAGTTGGAGGATATTATGCTCAGTGAAATAGGCCAGGAGGAGAAAGACAAGTACCAAATGTTTTCCCTCATTTGTGGAGTATAACAATGAAGCAAAACTGAAGGAACAAAACAGCAGCAGACTCAGAGACTCCAAGAAGGGACTTGGGGTTAACAAAGGGGAGGGGTGGGGGAGGGCGGGTGGGGAGGGAGGGAGAAGGGGATTGAGGGGTATTATGATTGGCACACATGGTGTGTGTGGGGATCACGGAGAAGACAGTGTAGCACAGAGAAGGCAAATAGTGACTGTGGCATCTTACTAAACTGATGGGCAGTGACTGTAATAGGGCATGGGGGGGACATGATAATATGGGTAAATGTACCACAGTGTTTTTTCATGTGAAACCTTCAAAGAGTGTATATCAATAATACCTTAATAAAAAAAATACAACTGACTTTTGTATATTTATCTGATCTTTGCAATTCTGCTGAACTCATTTTTAAGTGCTAGGATTTTTTTTTTGGTAGATTCCCTTAGATTTTTGACAATCTTGTCATCTGTAGGGTCGATTTTCTTCCTTCCTTTTCAATTTGCATGCCTTTATTCTCTTTTCTTGCCTTTTTCATTGGTTTTGGTATCAGGGTAACATTAACCTCATAAGCAGGGTTTGCAGTAATGTCCCGTTTCATTCTTGGTATTTTAAATGTGTCTTGTCTCTCTTCTTTGTAATTCTTGCTAGAGGTTTGCCGATTTGGTTGACCTTGTGAAAGAATCAGTTCTTTGTTTCATTGATTTTTCTCTACTGTTTTTCTGCTTTTAACTTCATGGACTTCTGCTCTTACTATTTCTTCTGCTTGCTTTGGGTTTATATTGCTCTTCTGCTAGACTCTTGAGGTAAGAGCTCCGATAACTGCCCTAGCAGTAGGCAGAATACTCCAGTCACAGGATCTTCTCAGCCTGGCCTAAAGCTGAGTGTCGCTTTCTTATGCTTCCAGAGGAGAGGAAGCAGATCTTTGCAGGGAGCCCCTTTCTGCTACTTAAAACGTGCACTTCCAGGAAGATACAGTAGGTGTATTCTTCCCAGTTGCTCCTGTTAAGTACAACTCAAAACTCAGGACATTACATGTAAAACAATCTTCAGAAGACTCAGGAAGGCTGAGAGGAGAAGGGAGACCGGCTAGGGATGACTGATGGGAGATTTTTTTCTTTTCTAACGTAAGTTTTCAGTGCTACAGATGCCCCTCAGCATAGCTTTAGCTGGGTGCCACACATCTTGACATGTTGTTTTTGCATTTTCATTCTGTTCAAGGTACTTTTATTATTGCCCTTAGATCCGAGGATTATTTAGAAATGTGTTGTTAGTTTCCAACTGATTGAAGAGTTTTCTGTTAACTTTCCACTGGTGGTTTCTCGTAGGAGTCAAAGAATGCGCTGCATGATTTCAATTTTATGCATTCGTTGAAGTTTGTCTCCTGATGTCAGCTTCTTTAGTTCCAAGTCTGAGATAAATGAGGCAAAAAGAAAACCCAGGGAACAAATGACCGTACCGTGCTGTTCCTTAGGTCCTGGGGTCCCCAGCTGGTCTGTCTTCTCTCAACCTTTCTGAGTCTTCTCAAATGAACGAGGCCATGTGACAGTCTTTCCTCTCAGTCCCTCACTGCCTGAATGGGCTCTGGGCTGGCCCTGTGGGCCCACCCCCTCCACAATCCCTGAAGACTTGCTACAAGACTTCCCATGATGGCCGCATACCTGCCTTTCCAGGACCCACGTGTCCCCTCTGCTCACAGGATGAAACCCCTGCTCTCGGGCAGCCTTCCTGTCTACTGCACTGGCTGCTCCCCCACTGCTCTCTCGCTGTCCCTGCCCCTCTGAGGGGATCGCAGCTATTCCTGTGGCCCACACACTGCCGTATCCTCCACGTCTGTCTCTAGGCTGACCACTCCGCTGAGTTTGACTTTTCATGTCAAAGAGACATTTCTAAGTGGATGTCCCTGCACAGTTCACATTTATCATGTTCTAGACGGAACCTTTCCTTTTCTCACTCCCGAACCCATCGTCCTCCTGCTGACGGGGAGAAGCTGGTTGGCGGCAGAGGCTGCCCCTCTGTGGCCACGCTGGAAAACTGCAGCTTCCCCGAGGAGGCTCCAGACAAAGAAGCCCTCGAGCCCCTCCCCGAAGGGCTCCGCCCCCAGGAGGCCACCCGCTCACTCCCACCCACTCCCTTCCAGAAGGAATTCAGAAACTGGACCACCAGGTCTCAAGGACACCCCCTGATATTGCCCGTGCAAAACCTGGTCCTTTCTCCAGATGGGAGCAGGGCGCGCCCTCCGGTGGGGGTTCCCTCCCCCAGGGCAGCTGGAGGCAAGGCGCAAGCCAGTGTTCCCGGCCTGGGAGGAAGCATGTGCGGGCTGTGAGGAGGAGCTGCCCTTATCAGGGAGACTCCTACCCCCTGACGTCAAAGTTGAAGGCCCCAGGAGGCTTGGGAAGGGTGAGGTAGAGAGGGGAGGTGTGGAAAGAGGTTCAGGAAGGCAGGAGCTCTTGCCAAGCTCCCGGAGCCAGGGGGGCAGAACCTGGAGCGGTGCCCCGTGTATATCGTTCATGCCACCCTCTGCCTCGGGGGTGCTTGGGGATGCCTAAAGGTGTCCCAGCCTATAGCAGATACTGCACAAATGGCAATGCCAGTGCTGGATTGTCATGCACCCTGCTCTCAGAGGCCGGGCCCTGGGATGCGGGATTAGCAAGCCCTCCCCCTCGCCCTGGGACCTGGTGTCTGGTATTGAGCCCAGAGTCCCAGTAGACCGAGGCCATGAGAAAACAGAGGCACTTTCCTAAAGCACTGCCTTTGCACAATGAACATATTTTAAACATTTTCAAATCGGAATCAAGGTATTATGCAAGATACATCCAATTATTTTTAAAAACATGAAAAATACAACTGTGAGAGTGTTTCTGGCCTCTCACAGGCCCCGCCCTCCAGGGAGTCTGTCGGGGAAGGTCTGAGGCTTCTGTGCCTTTGTGTCTCACCAAATACCTCCTATTCAACATCTTGGGACCCGTCCCGGCTCATCTCAGGTGCGCTGAGGGGACGGGCAAGGGGAAGGCTTCTATCTACGTTTGAACTGCAGAGTTAAAGGAGCTTCCTGGGGCCAAGGTGACGAGACCCAGAGAGCAGAGTAGGATTCTGGGGAATGGGGTTTGGATGCTTGATGAGGCTCTCCCCAGGCGGCTGGCTGAAGCTCAGGGGTCTCCTGCCCCAACCTCAGCACAGAGTCTCTGGAGGGCCTAGGCCTCTGCTCACCAGGCTGGCCTCCTGGCCCGGCCTCTCACTCCCTGCACACCTCCGAGGACAGCAGAGGGACAAGGCCCCTCTTGGAGGGACTTCCTTACCTCCCTCCTGAGCGGGGCCACGTAGGCCCAGGAGTTGGTGGTGGGGTCATAGCGCTCCACAGCATTCAGGTCGTGATGGTAGTCACGGCCGGCCACCGCGTAAATGTGCCTGCCCACGACACATACACACAGGTCGGCGTGCTCCTGCTGCAGGGACTGGATCTGGAACCAGCGGTTGTGCCTTGGGTCATACCTTTGGAGGAGACGCAAGGACAGTCAGTGCGTCACTGATGGGTGGGACAGCCTGCCTGGCAGGTCGCACTTCCTGCTCTGCCCACGTTCCCTGAACCTTCCCCAGCTACACACACCAGCACACGGTCACCCCAGCCACAGTAGCAAGCTGCTACACACTTGGGCACAGGGCCTGGCCAGGGAGGTGCAGCCAGGAGCCTCAGAGTTTCTCCCCGAGGCCAGCCCCTTCCAGGTGCACCTCCTGGGCGGGCACTAGCCCGCCCAGCTGCCCACCTCTATCCTACCTGTCTCCCCTCCTGGTCCCCATTGCCCACGCCCACTCAGAAACACCTCCAATGGCCCCTCAACTAGACAGCCCCCGAGGCTCCAGCCAGCACCAGCCCTGCCCGGGCTTAGTCCTATCGCAGCTCACCCCAATGCCTCTGGGGCCTCTCCTGTGCTGCTGATGCTCCCGCAGCCTCCCAGACCCCTCCAGTTGTGGGAACAGAAGTGATCTTACACTGTGGGCATTGTGGGCATGGTGAAAGCGGTCTTGTGGGACTCCAGGCGCTCCCGTGGGAAGAAGACACTGTGCTGGCGCTACAGCAGCCCCTCGGGGCCAGAGCACTCCCGGCCCTGGTGCCGTTCGAGCACATTACAAGCAGTCATTGAGTCTCGCATCCCTGACATCAGGCTTAGCTTCACACCCCTGCCACAGGACAAAGCTGTCCCTGCGTCATAACTGTACCTTCCCCTTTCCCATCAATCTTTGTAAAAAAGCTTAATCCCAGAACAGCAGCTCCCTTCTGAACTCCTGAGAGGTGCTGCCCCTTCCCACAGCCCCCAAGGCCACCCTGCCCCTCTTCTGCCTTCAGATGGCTTCATGTGCCGAGCCCTGGTGATCTGAGCCGCCCAGCGTGACCAGCTCTCAGCCCCCTCTCTCTCCTGCACTTCGGACACCGCGCCTCCTTGCTGAGGCCGTGCCCAGCTGGCTGCTCAGCTGTGTTGAGTGGAAGCCTGCGCCCCCTCCTCTACTCATCCAATCCCATCCCCACCAGCAAAGCCCCTACTCACACACGAGATTTCTCAAGCCTGAGCCTGGCAACTGAGGCCCTTTGTAAACCAAGTGCATGCCCACCTTTCCAGCACTCAGCCCCTGCGCTCCCGCCCTTCTCCACACCCCAGGCCTGGCACTCTGCAAGGCACACAGGCAGGTATGCTGTTGGGGTGAATACAGATGATCACAGAGCCTCAAGGGGCCAGGACCTCATGAGCCTGAGGCCCAAAGTCCGCTCCTTCGCCACCCAGTGTCTGGCCTTTCCCCTGGGCATCCACCATCACCTGCATCTGAGAACCGGCTTTCCAAGGTTCTTTGCTCAATGGCCCATGCGTAATTACAGCCTCTTTCAGGTAAGTGTCATTATTCCTCCACAGTCAGATAACTCCGGAGAGGACAAGCTGAACGTCAGCTGGCTCAGAAGAGGGTGAACAAAGGTTTCCTTGGCTTGTGTCGTGTGCTCGCCGGGGAGATCAGTTCCACCCTCTGCCCCAAAGCCCAAGTTAGACGTGCTCTGCAGCTGCTTCTTCCTGTCTGTGCGCCTTGGCCAGCCCCTCCCTGCCAGCCAGGAGTCACAAGCAACAAGACTGGGGCCAACAAGAGAGAGGGAACATGCACGGGCGTCACAACCATCAGGGTTTGAGCTGGCTCTGCCTGTCTCACAGGGCATATGTGGGCATCAATTTTACTCTGTCAGGATTCACTCAGTTTCCGCACCTGTCCTATGGGGTGGGTGGTATCGCCTGCCTAGAAAAGCTACCATGGAGATCGTAAGGGACAATGCACATAAAATCGGTCCTTGTTAACTCAAGGGGAGTTTGTGAAGGACCCAGGTTTGCATCTGTATTCCTAGACCTCAGCGCAGCTCAGGGCAGATCGTGCATTGTTTGCTCAACGAATCAAATGATTACAAGCAGTGAAAGCATTCACTCACTCTACAAATAATCTTGGCCACCCTACGTGGGCCAGGCATGGTGCTCAGCACTGGAAACCCAGAGAAGAACTCAAGACAAGGGCCCTCCTTCCCACTGCAGAGTGGGAAACAGGCTACAGAGAACAGGGTAGGCAAGTGCTCCATGTAATGACAGGAACCCTGAAGGAAAAGAAGTGAGGCGCACAGAGTGACCTCTGAACAGCAAGGTCTGCACGGGGCAGAGCTCTGTTATGGAGGGACCAGCAGGGCCTCCTGAGGAGGTGGCATTTGAGAACTGAATGACCCAGAGCCCAGTCAGGTCAAAGTCCTGCTGGGGACAGGTGGTGCTGGCTGGCATGGGTCACTGGGGCCCCGCCAACAGGCTGGGACTGTGCACAACACTCATTTACATGCGTGACTCTCCTGTTTCAAGACAAGCCCTTCCAGATGCTTCTGCCTGCTTCCTTCTGGCCTCCTGCCCTCACAGCCTCCTAGACTGAGTTCCTTTGGGTTTGTGTGTCCAGAAGACTCATACACATGCACATGTATACACACACCACACATTAATCATTTAGACATGACCAGTCAGGCTGATTTCTCATCTCCCCACTGTGTCCTATATCCCATATTTCCTCCTTATTGGATTTTCTACTTTGCCTTCAAATAATATTTTTTTCTAATAAAAATAAGCTTTATTATTGCATATAGGGATATAAACATAGTCACTTTACTGCAGATTCATCCCACTGCCAACTCAAAAGTATAATCTAGAGTTGGTACAGAAATGTCCTGGGGTCCTTATTAAACTTAGTAGACTGTTTTTCTTCTGTATTTCCATGGCTTAAGCATTCCCATGACTCTTAGTAAAGTCCATTACAATTCTTAAAAATTTCTTAAGTATACTTTGAAATATTACTGGTCATGAAAATGTCTAAGGAAAAAACAAGTTACTCTTCTAAGAAGGGTCAGGGCCTGTGGCAATGTGGGGCCAGCTACTCCCAGGTAAGGCGTGTGGGCAGTATCGGTCTCCTTGGCTATCTGAGAGTAGAGTGTTCCTAGGAAATCTTCCTTAAACTGAAACGGCGTAAAGTGAAGAAGCAACTACTTTATATGGAAAAAAACCTGAGCCTTCCCGGACCCCAAAAACAATCTCTCTCAGGCTTGTCTGATTCCTTAGGACACATCTTGCTAACGGATAACACAGAAAGGCAGATGCAGCACAGGCGCTCGCAGCCCCGGCGGCGTGATGCTGAGACTGGGCACGGCTCTGGGGAAGGAGCCTGGCGGGGTCGTCTCCCTGCGGTACCTCTGTAATGGCCTGCTATAAAACGGACACTAAACTCTATTTCTGCTTTTCGCCTTCTCTGTAAAAGCCAAAATGAAAACAGGTACTAATACAGATCTTTTGTAAAAGCGAAGTGGTATAACGGAAACTCAAAAAGCAAGGATACCTGTATTCAGTAGCCACAGAGCTGTAGCTACGGGAAAGGTGAAAAGGCAACGTGGGTAATACAGAGCCAATCAAAGAAAAAAAAGAGAAACAGTGGTATCTCAGAGATAAATACAATCTGCTCCAAAAGAGGTAAATTTTTATATGCAGTTTCTATAACAATGCTTTAAGATATGACCTGGTTAAGTTCCCAATGCCTCAAAATGAAAACTCTAACTAGCTACAAGATCTTGCTCTACTCTGAGAGCCTACATATTCTGAGGCTGGTGAAATAGGCAAGGGGAGAGGGGAGAGGACCCAACTCTCAGGCCATTCAGATGAAGATCCTTCTGTCAGGTTTAAGTGTCTACCAGAGCATTAACAAACTTTCACCCTGTAGAGATGACAGGGCCCTCCCAGCCCGGCAGACACAGCACCCCACTCCCCCAGGGATGCTTCTCCCACCACGCAGGTCTCACCAACCCCACCTGCCACAGTGATCCAACCCCTTGCCCGGAGTTTGAGGCTGCAGTTAACCACGAGGCTGACATCAGCATTCTCCAGAGTTTGGCTTGGGTCTCACAGCACATGTTCCCGAAAGGGAAGCCAGTCTTGAGTGCAGCGGACATCAATGGCAGTGACAGGACAGACTACAGGGGCGGGCAGTGTCCTCGGCCGCCATCTTCAGGGTCCTCCTGTGGGCACAGGGCAGCCCCTGTGCCAAGGGCCGGAGGCCACAACACCCTGGTCTACTTTGCAGCTCTGTGATTTGCTCTCAGCAAGGAGGGTTTCCTTGGTCCTCCAAATGGGAAACAGCCCCCCAAAAAGTTTCATTGGCTTGGCTGGAGGGATGCCTGAACCCGGGGCTGCCCTACCCACTGGAGACATGGCTTTCGGATAATGAGAACATGAAGGCATTGTTTCCTTCTTCCTGAACTCGGCCCATCCTCCTGCTCAACCACAGTGTGCTGCCAAGCTTTGGATCCCATCGGTTTAAAAAAGGTGACTGCGTCCTGGGGCCCCGAGACCAGAGGGGCCGAGGAACAGCTGTCTCCTCCTTGGTCATGGCCACCACACTCATGCCCGAGAGGCACGGCCAGGCCGGAGGGCACCCCTGCTCCCCACCTCAGAAGACGGAAACATGCACACAGACCCGGTCGGTGCCTGGCTCACAGCTGCCAAAGCAGCCGGCAGTCTCCCTCTCTACACTGCCATCTTTCAGCTTACGGGATGGAGACATTTCACACACACGAATCCCGGGACACTGAACCAACGCACAGCGGAGGGGGCCCCAGAAATATAATGGCCTCACGGATTTGCTCCACTTCCCTTGCTTTGCCCAAAGAAATGACCTGTGGGATCCCAGCTTCATAGAATGACAGAGCTGGACGCGTCCTGTGAACCATGGCGGTCCACAAACCCCCTCTATTGGGTTCCTGGGCCCAATTCCAAAGGTGGGAGGACTTCCCCACACTAACAAGCAATTCTCTATGACGGGTCATGTCACCGTAAAATCTACTGAGCCTGCGGAAAAGCCCCTTATTCTTTAACTCAGTCTATATGCTGTTCTTCCCCTTCTTCCAGCCCCTTAGTCAATTAAGTAACTTTGTAAGGAGGACAAGAGATGAACCTCTGAAATGTACATGAGCCTTGGTGGATAAAGAATGCTGACATCCAGATCAACAGCCACCTAAATAACCCTATTCTTAAGACAAAACTTCAAAGGAATTATGAATCACCTGTATACATTATGCCTTATGCTGACCTACCCAAAAGACCCTATGAAACCCCAGACACTAAACCATTAAGCCCGCCTCCTCTCTGAGGTCACCCGCACTCCCATCTGAGTGTGTATTAACTTATAAAATAAATTTTCTTGTTACATAAGCCAACTGCACTTGTCTCTGAACTCTTTTCCATGATGAAGACAAGAATACTTACTCCAACCTCCACCTCTGATGGTAAATGTCTTTGTCCCTTTGCGTTGAGCTTTGTAATCTTAACACAACCGTTTCTTTGTTTCATTTCAGACCAGTAGGGAAGGGGAAGTTCTCAGAATATATCAGAACATAAACTCACTCCATCCGGTAAATCCTGGGGTGGTAGGGACTTAGTTCCCACACTGTGAAGATTCAAACAGACATCGGACACCAGGCGACCCTGGCTTAGGAGTTGGCAAGGGATCTGCCCCACGCTGAGCAGGAGTTCAATGAGCTCCCCTTTCCTCCCTCTGCTCTTCCCTGCTCTCTGCTGCCTGCACGGCTGCTGCCATTCGCAGCCAGGCCACCGCTGCTTTAATGAATTCCTCCCTTACCTACACTCGTCTGACCTGTTCCAGAGATCTTCCTCGGACAGAGTCAAGAACCCTCCCCCATACGGGCTGAGGTTTCACCTAGTGCCCAGGGAAAGACCTCCCCAGCCAGATACTGCTGCCCACAACACTACAATTCAACTCAGTTTCAGCAATGTCTACCTAGAGACAGCATCAGATCTCCCAGGGGAAGGACTCAGTCTACAAGACAGCCCTGCCACCTCCCGACTTCAGAAGCCAGCCACTAGAGCAGGCTGTCACCTGTGCCTCCGACCCACTGGCTACAAACTGGAGGTTCCAATGACCCCTCCGACTCAGATGCCAGTCTCAAGTCCAGGCTGTCACCTGCTCCCATGATCCATCCTTGGGTTCTATTAATTTGCTAGACTGGCTCACAGAACTCAGAGAAACATGGTACTTAGTAGATTACCAGTTTACTGTAAAAGTATGTAACTCAGTACAGCCAGATGGCAGAGATGCACAGGGGCCCCCTCCTGGTAGGTTTTATGAAGGCCCCATTACTTTGGCATGGTCACTGGCGATGGTTCAACCTCCAGCCCCTTTTTCCCCCCCAGAGGTCAGGGGTGGGACTCAGACGAGGCCCCACCCTTAGGTACTTTCCTTAGGTCCCCTCATTAAAAAAACAAAAGACACCCCCCATCACTCTCAACACTTAGGAAATGCCAAGAATTTTGGAAGCTGAGAGCCAGGAAAGTGTTTGAAGACCAAATAGACATAAGTATATAAATCAGTACCACACACCCTCTCAGAAAACTGCGTCCTCTGGGGCCCTCATGCCCAGCTCACAGCTGCTGCCGAAGTGTGTGGGGAGAAATTAGGCATGAGGCTCAGAGACGCCTGTCGTTCTTCCCACTGCTGGAGGGGATGGGGCAGGCAGCGCCAGGAAGCCACATCCAGCATGGCTTGACGCCAACTGCGCAGAGCAAAGCAGACAGGCCAAGGGAGGGTGGGACGAGCCAGGTCAAAGCTCTGGGGAGGGCAAGATGGAAGGAGCATCGCCCTGTCCAGTGCCCCCAGCAACTAGACCCCCTCCTTCCGCGGCCCAACTGCCTTCCTGCCTGGGGCTCCTCCCCCTGTGTTCAGCCAGTCCAAAGGCATGTCCCTCATGACGAAGACCCTCACAAACAGGACAGCAGTATGCGATCCAGGGTGGGTGGGTTTCTGAGAGGAGAAGGGGGAAAGCATTCTGGGCCCCTTTTCCGTATCTCACTGCCGTCTGCACTCAACAAGTTAGCCTGGACTTTACCATGACCAGGGGTACCTGCACAGGCCACCAGATCACTTTTAATGGCTGCTTGCCTCGCCTCTAGCCAAGAGCCCTTGCAGAACCCACCCCATCATGACCCACCCTGAGCCCCCGACTACCACGCCACAGCGTCTCACCGGCAGACCAGGGCACGGCCAGGCACCCTTTCCTACCTCCAGCATCGGGACTCAGCTCGGAACCCCTGGACGTTGTTGTCCCCTCCAATCAGGTACACAAAGTTGTTGAGCACTGCGATGCCCTGGTTGGACATTCGGGGGGCCAGGGAGGCAGTGAAGTGTTTCCACTCTCCCAGCAGGGGATTCAGGTACTTGGCCTGGTCGCTGAGGACAGTGGAAGGCGTGGAGTGAATGCCCCCAAAGCCCACGACACACTGGAAGTCTGACCGCAGCTCTGTCTGCGGGCCCTGCAGGCTGGGCTGCAGGCTCTCGTTCTGATGGTACATGAGGGCACTGGCCACTGTGTCCCTCAGCGGGCTGGGGTCCAGCTTGTCATGCAGCCGCTGGAGGACCTCAGCTTCCATCAGGGGAAACCGCACCGTCTCGAGGAGCTTCGGGGGCTCGTGCAGTGAGATCTGGTCGGCCTGCACCTGCTCCAGAGTGTAATGGTAGAGCAGGGCGCCCTCGTACACCTCAGTCTCGCAGGAGACCTCTAAGCGGTTGCTGCTCAGGAGGGAGTAGACCTTCTCCAGGGGAAGCTGGCGGTACTTGTCAGTCCGCGAGAAGGCCACAAAGTTTTTAAGGATGTAGGTGTCCAGCTGCTCGGTCAGGCGGCTTAAGTCAAACAGCTCTGCCAGGCGGTAGACATCAAGGATGTTCTCTTCATCCACCCAGGACATGAGGAAATCACAGCAGAAATGGATGATTTCTGGGATCTGTCAAGGGAGCAAACCCCAATCAAGCCTGGGCTGGAAATGGTGTCTGGGTGCAGGAGACAGAGGATAATGGTGACATGGCTAATGCAGCTGCCAGTTACAGTGCCCCCCCACCAACCCCAACCTCTCCTGATACGTGGGCCCAGTGTGGCCACTCTCCAGTGACACATTAGAGCCCGCTGGGGCTCACTGCATTCTGCCTAGGGTTAAATCCCAGCTCAGGAGTGATCTGCAGCATGTTCTTAACCATTCTGAGCCCCAGTTTCCTCCCACATAAAATAAATACGGTTAAGGTAGAGAAGGATAAACTGAAGATGGGACCATACAGGGTGCACCTGACACAGAGCAGACCTGTTCAGACCAAAAGCACTAGACCTCCAGAAAACCGGGAAGCAGCATATAGCCCTCGAGTCAGCAACCCCCGATCGGGAAGGCACCGGGGCCTCTTACCCTCCCAGCTCTCGGGAAGACATGGGGCTCTTTTCTCCTGCCACCAACCCCATAGCTGGAGGCCCAGCCAAAGCTGTGGGCCCAGGGAACCCACCCTTGCTCAGCAGCAGGTCCCTGAACAACCCAGGCACTAAAGAACTGCCAGCAGAGTGTTCCCACTTGCCTGGCATGCATCCTGGGAACCTGACCCAGATCTGGAAAAGCTGGAAGCCATCCTGCCTGCTCTGAGGCCTGCTCAACTCAAACACAGGGGCTCCAGACAGCCATCACCTCCCCTCTCCCAACCGTGCAGAAGAGCCAGTGGATGGGAAGGAGGGCAAGAGAACAGTGCTGAGGCGGGAGCCAGAAAGGGGGCAGAAGGGCCAAGGCCCCTGTGACTGGGCAGCCGAAGTGCAGCAGGGCACAGCGCTCTAGGAAAGCTGCCCAGGAATCGCTGAACTCCTAGGAAAAGAGAACTCGGAATTTCTCTAAAAATGGGAATACCTTGTTTATCATTACCAATTAACCACTGCACAGAGTAACTCTGCTGGCATGTGAAGTTATTAATAAACATTTTAAATCTTTTGTCTTTATTTTTTCTGATTCAAAAGACATTTAGTGCTTGCCAGGTGATAAACTAAGGGCTGAATGAAAACCTACAAGGTGCCAGGCCTGCGTCTGCCCCACACAGGATACCCCCCTCTAGTGCTCTGTCAGGTCCTGAAAGTCTTTGCTTGACCATCCATTTCTCTCCCTTAACAGGCTCTTCTGCTTTGCCACTTCTTCCTAAAATGCTGTGTCTCCTCTGCTGGGGGCCAGGACACTGAAGGCCAAGCTCTGGGTGGAAGGCAAGAGCAAACAGCCCTGAGTGGGCCTGAGAAGCAGCATCTGAAGAACTCAGAGACTAAATCACCCACTCTTCTGATCAGAGCAGCAGGCCATCTGTCGGCGAAGCCCACAGAGGTATTGCCCCAGGCCCGCCAAGGGCAGGAGCCCCACAGGAGGCTCAGAGAACGGAACCCTAGCCACAGGTGACCCAGTGGTAGGATCTCCTGGGAACTCCAACCAGGTCTGACCACACAGCGTCTGCTTCTGAGCTAGCACAGGGCACAGCAAGGGGTGTGCAAGGGGATAGCTGCCAGCTGCACCAACAAACATGATCTGGTGGGCCTCTGGCTGTGGAACTGTTACCCTAAGTAAGGCTTACTTTAAAAACAAAACTGCATAGAAACCCAACATGTTAAAACTAAGACAAAGCAAAAGTTGCCAGAGGTGAAGTGGGCACCCCCTGCCCTATGCTTTCCTTGCAGTGGCTTCAGAGGCCCCAAGGAGCACCAGCCAAACCTCCACTGTGCGCGAGGGGGACACAGCAGGTCTCTGGGCAGATGGCAGGAGGGGAATAGTGTCTGGGAAGATGGTTTGGTATCGACGTGTATGGCAGATGCAGGGACAGGTAGGAGGCAGGGGTCAGCTTGGGGAGCAATGAGATGGAGGCCAGGGCCAGGGTGAGGATGTGGACATAGAGGGTGGAGACAGCTGCAGGCAATATTTGCAAGGACAGCTCATGTAAACCAGGACACAGAGAAGGTACACGGAAGTGCTCAGGGGACAAAGGCTCTGAGCCCAGGGAGCTGGCGGAATGGCCACAGGACACACAGACCAGGGGAACTGAGAGGGAGTACGTACGATGGGGAGGCAGTGCTGGCAGTCAGCCCTCTGGGTGGAGAGGGTCTGAGGCTACTGAACATGGAGTTAAGTATTCCAAGGCCAGAGAGCTAGATGAGGGTTCTGGATAGGGACACACGAGGTCTCTGAATAAAAGAAGGTAGGGAAATTCTATCCTAAAGGCGGCAATGGCTCAACTCCAGCTGCCCATCACACACGGCAAGGGGAGCTGTACTCAAACCCACCAAGAAACGGCAGCTGGGGGCCGCCATGGCTCTGCCATGCAGGGTGGGGTCTCCAGACACCCAGGGACAAACTTGGTTTCCCTGTATGAGCTTTTTCTGACTGCCCCAAACGTGCTCTGACCTGAAGGTCAGAATAATGAACTCAGCAGAGCATTACATTTCACTTTCAAGAAATGTGGGAAGAGATATCTCTTAAGCAGCTTGAACTGTCGGACAGCTCCTGTGAGCAAAGGAGCCGTTAACTGCACCAACCCGGAGCCAGGGTGATCTTCTCAAACTAAGTCACTGTCAAAGCTTCAAAACGTTTTGAGTTCTGTATGGAAACAAGTATTCAAAGTTGAACAACAAAAATAATAGTAGTTTCAAGTAGATTAACAAGGCCAAGTGCAGAGGATGGGCAGAAAGGCCTGGGAGACACAGGGAAGCTCAGCCTCACCAGATGCCAGGGTCAGGCCACACCGGGCATCACCCGCTCAGCCTCGGGACGAGCCAACTTGTTTCCATGCGGGGTCTCTTCAGTGTCAGGGAGACCCAGAGGGGAAGGGACCAGACAGGCAGGGGCAGAAGGAAAAGCAGAGGCGGGGCCTGGGCCTGGAGGCACTCAGAGCAGCTCAGCTTTCTGAGCCAGGCCCCATCTGAGGGCGTCCGACCCACAGGCCCCTTCCCTGCCTGCCCCACCCTCACATCACTGCCCAGTGGGCACCCAGGGAAACCCCATGTGGGAATGCGTCTGCTGTACTGGAGGAAGAGAGCCTCACCTGAAGCTGGCAGGCGGCGACCAGTGTCTCCTGGACGTTGCTCAGGCTGAGCTCCAACTCAGAGGTGTATATGAAATGCAGGATTTGGCACATGGCATTGTAGGACACGCCGTGGATCAGGACCTCTTCCTGTTCCATCTCCTTCAACCCCCCAGCAAACATTCCTCTGCAAAGTGAAGACACAACACATGGAACTCTATCAATCTGTATCACTCAGGATGCCAGCTCAGGCCCCCCAGACAGAGAGCAACTGGAGCGGTGGTGGGCTGACCTGGCAGCAGACACTGGCTCACGCTGGGCTGGACACCGAGTCATGCCAGGGAAGGAGCCCATAAGCTCCTGACCAAGTATGGGAGCCACTCTAGAAATTACCCTGTTTCCATGTGCCACAGGGTGTCAGTCACACAAGAGCCTCCCACAAGCAGGAACCACATCCAGCTTGCTTTCTGCTGCATTTACTAGTACACTTCCTGATCACAACAGCAGCCCAGAGCATGTTCTGAATGAATGAGTGGGGAACAGTAAGTCATTCCACTCCATATGTATTTACTCAGTGCCTACTAAATGCCAGGAGGAGTAACAGTGAGGTAAAGCAGCAAGATTCCTTCATACATGGAGTTCGAGGTCAACCGACAAAGAACCATGGTGTCTGAGTGAGGAAATACTAGGAATGGGGGCAACAGGACACCTGACATAGGAGTGCCTGGCTGGGAAGGACGAGCGGGAGGAGGGGATGTGGGGCAGAAACAGGCCCACTCTGAGGCACAGAGGGGAGGCCAGGCACGAAACCTCACCAGTCAGGGAACGGCGCCCCAGGTGGAGGAGATGGGCGCCCAGGTCCGGGACAAGGACGAACTTAGCATGCAAGGCAGCCAGGGCAAGGAGGAGGTGAGCAGGAGGTGAGGCAGGGCCAGGTCCTGCTTCCCCTGGGCAGGACAGAGTCTCGATTAAAACCCGTGCACGGCGGGAGCCGACTTTTCAGGAACAGGAAGGTTGCTGCAGGCTGGGCGAGGGCTGTGAGGCTGGGGAGCTGTAGGGGAGGTTACCAGGCCAGGCAGGGGACAGGCTGAGGGCTGACTCTAGGGGAGTATAGGAGAAACCTTAGCAAGAATGGCACACACGATCTCGTCAAATATTTAAGAGCCGTTTCTATATTCTCTTTTGAATAGTCCAGATTCTTTGCCCATTTGCTAAACAAACTCACTGTCTTATCAATTTGAAGAAATCTGCCGTTTTTAGACCGAGTTGAGTTTTTTTCTCTACCTCAGATCGTTTTTTTTCGCCATACATAGGTTTGACTGTTTTGAATGCAAATTTCTTGTTTTCTTTTTTGCCTGTGAGTTTTGTGTCAAACTTAGAAAAAAGCTTTCTCCTTATAAGATTAAATTTAAAACATTTCCCCATGTTTTCCTCTAGCTTTTGTGTTTAATCTCTTGTATTTAGTATTGTTGATTCACCTGAAATTTATTTTGGTACAACAAGTGAAACAAGGATTCAACTTTACATTTTCCCAGAGAGTAGCCCCGTCGCCACCTTTCCCCCTCCAGGACGCCACCTTCATCACATGCAAAGTTTGTGTCTGTTTCCAAACCCCGAGCCTAACCCAAGAAGCTTCCCAAAAGTGTGCAGAAGCGGTTTCAGTCACTGCAGCCCCACAACACACACCAACACAGGGTACAGCCAACCTCCTTTCCCTACCTTTCTTTTAGACAACCCTGGCCATTGCTTGCTTTTTAACATTTGTACTTTAGAAACAGTTTGTGTAATTCTCCCAATAAAGCCTCTTGGTATTTTTACTAAGAATGTGTTGAACATCTAAGCTGATGTAGAGAGCAAGTAGCTCTGTGACGGACATGCGCTTTCCTACCTAGCAGGCCAGTCTCTGGCTCTCCCTGGAGGTCTACAGGTCACCTCCCCACAGACCTGGCACCTGTAAGTTCACTCACTCCACAGGAGCCCTTCAGGGTGCTTTCCTGTGCTCTGTGGTCCTTGATTCTCTCTTGGGGGTGGTACGGCTGACTCTCCTGGACTGTGCAACTGCATGCCCAGGACCTCCGTGACCACACTGGCAACAGTGGGGAAGCAGCGTCAGAGCACCGACCCCCCAGAGCAGGGTTCGGGAGCTTAGATTGACTCACACATACCCTGTCATCTTAAGAAAGGATCCATGCGATGTGAGGACCCTGAGAGGAGAGGGGAGGGAGGATATATGACACTTTGGGGGCAATCAGAAAAACTGGAATATGGACTCAATATCAGATGAACTTAGGGAATGCCTGCAAATACTTTTAGATTTTAGTGGTATTACAGATGTCAAAGAAGGTCCTTATTCTTAGATGTGCCTTGAAGTATTTCCAGATAAACTGTCACATCTCCAACTTACTCTGAAATGAATGTGACACAATCTTAATAATGGATGAATCTGGGCAAAAGGCACAGGTGTTCATTCTACCTATTTTTCAACTTCTGTGTAGGACTGATATCTTTCAAAATAAGAGTTAGGGAAAAAAAGGCTAAAGAAAAATAAAATTATTCATTTGTATTGTTGTGCTTAATCAAAAATGGATGTTTAATTCTTTATCATAATCTTACTTCTTTTCTGTAACTGAGGTAATGTCAAAATAAAAGAAAGAACTTTTAAAATGATGTTCACACCTCATACCCATTAGGATGGCCACTATCAAAAGAGAAACAACAAGAGTTGGTGAGAATGTGTAGAAATTGAAACCCTTGTGCAATGTTGGTAGGAATGTAAATTGATGCAGCCACTGTGGAAAAAAGTATGGTGGTTCCTCAGAAAATTAAATACAGAATTATCTTATGATCTGGCAATCCCATTTCTAGGTATATACTCAAAAGAACTGAAAGCGGAGTCTTGAAAAATTATCTGTACACCCATGTTTATAGCAGCATTTTTCACAATAACCAAGAGGTGCATACAACCCAAGTGCCCACCGACAGATGAATGAATAAATAATATGCGATCCATTCATACAATGAAATATTGTTCAGCCTTAAAAGGGAAGGAAATTCTGACACAGGCTACACCACGGATGAATCTTGAGGACATTGTGCTAAGTGAAAGAAACCAGTCATAAAAGAACAAATAAAATTTTTATAGATCATCAAATTCATACAAACAGAAAGTGGAATGGTGGTCCCCAGGGGCTGGGGAAGGAGAATGGCGAGTTGTTTAATGAATACAGTTTCAGTTTTAAAAGATAAGAAAGTTCTGAAGATTGAATGTACAACAGGGTGAATATACTTAACACTGTACCCTTAAAAATGGCTAAGATGTAAACTTTGTTATGTGTTTTTTTTAATCACAATTTTAAAAAAAAGGATGTTCACCAGGTACCCAGAAACAGAGGACGAACCCAGTAAGTGGTGAGCAGAGACACAACCCCAACACTCTGCCTAACAAGGGCACCTCTACTGCCAGGATGTCACAACCAGATGTCACAAGGTGCCCGTGAGCTGTCTCTGATGTACAGTGAGGTGAACATTTCCTGTGTCAGCCCGTTCAGGCCCTTGATCCCTCCTCCAAACCCTTCAGGCCAAGTGTTTTCAAGGTTTCCACTAGAGAAATACTGTAGCCATTCCTTGTATAATGGAGTCGGGTCAGTACCTCATATCCAAACACCTCAATATTTCCAAAGCAAAATGTATTAAGATACACACTAAGTACGATAAAAATATAATTGGCCTCATAGCAGCTCAGGGTGCAATTTTGTAGCTTATAAGTTTGTGCTAAACTTATAAAAATTAAAAAAACAGAAACCTGTGGAAAAAATGTTGACGCAGGAGAATCCAGCTTTCCCCCCACCCCTGAAAGATCCACGATTTGTCAGCTATCTACTAACAAAAACAGGTCTGGTAGACCTCCAGAGCACCCTAAGTTTTAGCAACACACTGGGACAGAAAACAAAACTCCTTTTAATTTCAGAGCCTTTGGGGTTTCAGAATTATGGAAAGTATTTACAAAAAGAAACAATGTGTAGATGAACAGGAACATTCACAAATGGTTACCATGCTTTTGGGGGAGAGGTGGGAGGGCAGGGTTAAAGTGCTTTCAGTTTTTTTACACCTTAAGTGTTTTAGCTGCAGGAATGGATGCTGAATGTTCCTGCACGCCCACTACCTGTGTTTGGATGGCTACAGGCTATGTGACCTTTGATAGATACCAGAAAAATTTTCTTATAGTGCAAGGTTTTAATCAAACAAGCAACTAGCTTTTGTTCCAAGAACTCAATGCACCTGGGCTAGGACCTACTGCTCTGCCATTTACATGGGCATGGTAGGGCTCTCCATGTGAGGTCCCACTGAAAATTTCACAGTCATTTATAAATGAGCTGTAATTTTCCTCTGTGGGTCCAATTTTGATATCAATGTTATGTAACTTTCTAAAAAAATCTGGAGACTTCCTTTATCTTTCTCTGGGAAAGTTTAAATGGCATTGGAGTCTGTTTCTAAAAGGCACATTCCCTGGGACACATCTGGGCTTCATGATTTTGTGGCAAATATATCGCTGTCTCTTATGGGTAGAGTTCTGTCAATTTATATTTTCTACAAAATCATCAATTTTACCCAAATTTTCAAAATCACAGGCTTTGAATTGAGCAAAGCTGCCTATTTTATAATTCACACATGGTATGCAAACTGAGTGAGGGCTGGGTGGCCCAGGGAGGCTACAGGACAGAGCTCTGGGCTGCCTGTACATGCAGGGGAGAGGAGGAGCTAGGAACTAGCCCAGAACAGACAGGGCAAAGCGGGCAGGGTCAGGGGAGCCAGGAGATGTGCAGGCGACAGTTACTAACACAAGCCAAAAAAGAAGACCTAAGACGCAGTCTGACCAGCCAATTCCTAAACTGCATACAAGGTCCACACCAACAAAGGCTTCCTGCATGGGAGCACTCTGCCTGCAACAGGTCAGCTGCTTTCTGTGGGGAGGAGCCGGCCCAGGGAGCCAGAGGCTGGGGAAGGCAAGGCTCCCCAGGCAGGAGGCACTCCGCTGGGCCTGGAAGAACAGAACACTCTGCAGGGCCGGGAGAGCAGCACTGCTGAGGAGCAGCAGAAGCATGGAGGCAAGAATGCCCAGAGCTCGACTGGCCCACAGTGCATCTGGCTCAGGGGTCCTCTAGGCAAGGCAAGCGCACAGACGTGGGAGGCGAGACTGAGAGAGGTGCACCTCCCAGAGGGCTACATGCCAGGGAACCCACAGCCACACGTGGCCTCTGCACCCTGTGCCCCCAAACACGGGGACAACTCTGCCAGCCAGAAACGCATCATGCGTGTCTTACAACTCTACATCTCAAAAGTGGTTCCTGTTCCTCATGAAAAAATCACTGCATGAGTCCTTTGGTCTCCCTTTCCCCAGTTCAATCCCCAGAGTTCACTGTGTGTCCTTCCAGATCTTCCAGGCGGCTCATCTGCACCTTCTTGCCCTTACGCACAGAGCCCACCCTTACGCACAGAGCCCACCCTTATGCACAGAGCCCGCCCTTACGCACAGAGCCCCACCCTTACGCATAGAGCCCACCCTTATACACAGAGCCCACCCTTACGCACAGAGCCCGCCCTACTGCTCAGTAGGCTCTGATCCACCTGTTTGTAAACAGCTGCACCAGACACCCGCAAAATGAAAGGGCCATCAGCCCCCCACCAGGTCGCTCAGCACCTGGAATGACGCCCCACAGAACAGACACCTAGACACCCACAGCAGGGCCCAGGGTACAGGCCAGCCCACCCTCCTCCAAAGCCCTTCTCTCTACCCTTGCCCACATTATACGTTACAAACCTTCCACATTTTTGCCAGTCTTACTGGGGAAAAATGGTCCTTCATCATTTTAACCTAAATCAAATAACTGAAATGAGTAATAATGAACACACTAAAGCCTGGGAATGACCTACTTCAAATTATATACCTATGTATAACTCTGGAGCCCCTCAATGCTGTCACCCCCTCTCTGGTTCCCAATGGAAGGGAGTACCAGCATGCACATGATAGCACTTGAGAGGGCCATAGTGAGTACCAGGATTCACTCCTGGAGGATCCAAAAAGCCACAGGCTTTCAATCAGGGAAAAGCAGCATCTGTAAGTGTCCTTTAGGAAGAGCGGTATGACAGGAACAGTCAGGACAGTCCACATGGGGAGAGGAGCTCAGGCCTGAAAGTCAAGGAAATGCCGCTGGGTCCACAGCCCCGTCGGCCTCTCCTACACAGGCCCTAAGCGGCTGCCCCCATCAGGTCTGCTGAACCCCAGTCCTCCCTGCAGGTGGCTCTTAGCAGCCCCACCCAGCCCACTGCCCTGTAAGTCACCTTGAAGCTCAATAAAAGCTTCAGCTGAACCCCCTGCGAACTGAAGGAACATTACCCCCCCTGGACTTGTCTGCCCCAAGACACCGCTGGATCACACTCTCCTTCTAGAGAATAGGAGGCACCTGACCATAGAGAGATATCGTGCAAGGGCGAAATGAATGAATGAACACATGCATCCGGTGCGCAACAGCTCCTAGACCCGAATAATGAGAACTGGAACCAAGACGTGAAGACAAAACGATCAAACTGAATGGGAGCTGGCCATGGAGGGCCCCACGTCTCTGTGCATGAGGGCAGTGGCACCAATTCTCCCCAAAGTGCCAAGTGCTCAGATGGCATCACACAGGAGACCATGAAAAACCCCAGGGAGCCACAGAACCCACAAGGAGGGGAAGAGGTGGAGATCCTCAGGATGAGAAGGTTTAAGCCAGAAGGTGGATGGCTTAGGAAGGGGTGCAAAAGGGGTGACTCAGACATCGAGTAGCTGTGCAGGCCATGTGTACACTGTCCTAACCATTGGCCGCAGCTCAGCACCCACAGCGGCCAGAGGTCCTGAGTAGTGACCAGGGCTCAGGCAGGCTTCTAGCCAGCATTAAAAGAACACCATTGTTGGAGGGTGGGGGTAACAGAAACACTAAGGTGTAAAGAATGACAATGTTTCAAGAAAGATGTGTATATGTATAAAGAGAGAGAAAGCAAATATGACAAAATGTTAACAACTGGTATTCAGGTATTCATAATACTATTAGATTTTCCAGATATAAAAATTTTCAAAATGAAATGTTGGGGAAACCAGAGTAAAGCAGAAAGAAAATCTGTTTTATACCAAGATATTGTACTTACAGCAGAAAATTCATTTTATAAAATACATTATTACAAGTAAAGCCAACCATATCATCTTTGAAAAAAAAGAAAACATGACAAGACAGCGGAACATAAATACTAAGACTTCTGCCTCCGCCTCTCTCTCTCTTTGTTGATCAAGTCATCACAACAGGCAGGTGGAGAAGCTTGGGTAAGCAAGGCACTTGGCGCTTCGTACCAACAGAATCCCTAAGGAGCCAGGATTACCTGTTATTTTACTTGTAAGGCGCACATAACTCACCGGAAGTAATCACAGGATGCAGCCAGCAGGATGCGATGAGCCTCAATGTGTCTTCCCTCCACCACGAGGACGACGTCAAAGAGGATGCCACTGTCCCGGAGGGCCAGCAGCCCCCGGAGTAGGGCCTGGGAGTGCTGTGTGCTCCGGTAGGTGTTGTTGATGCAGTGTGGGTGAGCGGGCTGCGCAGACGACTTGCACAGCTGGGTGAACTCCTGCTCTTCCGCCATCCTGACCACCACGCCAGACCACTACTGCGGCCGTCAGCTGGCAAGACAGAGGGGATGGCGATAAGCCAGGGAAGTCAACACCCACCCCGCACAGAATGGCCAGCCCTGCTCCCAGCGGCACCTGCTGCTCATGACTGCTCCTCCCTCCAGCTCACCATGCTTCCCGTGTGGTCTTGAAACTCCCTCTCCCCTCCCACCACACGTCCAAACTTGGGGCCTTCTTCCTGATGACCTGTGGCCCTTCATTGCCAAGATTCGTCATCCCATTTTATCTCTTTCAGCATCGCTGGGGAAATTGAAGGGTTCTGAAGACAGACCAAGCTAGGCTGGGGCCCCCACCCCACCACAGACTTACCGCATGACCAACCTGAGTCTCAGGTTCCTCAACAGAAAAAAGGGAAATAAAAGCACCCAGCCTGTTGGGGAAATCTAAAATCGGTAAACATTGAACATGAAGTACCAGCACAGACCAGGTCCTAAGAGCTCTTCCTCCTTTCCACTGAGAAAAAACAAGGCTGGGTTCCCCCACGCAGGAAAAGATGCCTAAAAATGACAATAGGCCTGAGCGGCGGTCAGGAGACCCAGGGGAGGGGCCTTCTTTTACCAAGATTCTGAGAGTCAAGCACAGGAACTTCAACTAAACCTGGTTCATTTGACATCACCTGTATCATTTTAAATTAAAGGCTACTTTCTAAAAATTGAGTATTTCAGAAAGTGCAAACTAATTTGAATAGCAGCCTTAGAAACCCAATCAGTAAAAACACCTTCTGCAAACATGCTTTGGCCGCATATTCTGAACTAACCAGAAGCAACTGTGGACAGCCAGGGGCCCTGGGTCAGGCTGTCCGGTCCTGCACCGCGCTGTGGGGCAGGACTGCACTCTCTCCAGCCCACTGGCAGGCAGGGCCCAGGCACCACCTGCCACACACTGTGAACATCTATCTGCCTTTCCTACCTCCCACCATTCCACTATCCCCTCCCCCAATTTGTTTCTTCGTCAATTTCCTCCTGTATCTTTAAAAGAAAAAAATGAAAAATAGATCCTACTGTGAAACCTGACAAAAAGAGGCTTTCCTCCTCGACACTGGGGCTCAGGAGCACCACTCCCACTGCTACTTCCTTCTCTCCCCTCCCTGGGACCTGCTAGCTCCAGGCCCTCCACTGACTCCCATCCTGCATGCTCACTTCTCTGTGCTGGCCCCCTGTGTATGTCCCAGTCCTGGGACTTCTGCCCACCTACCCCTCCTTCTTCCCGACCCCGAACTGGCTCATGTAAAGACTGCTGGGGCAGAGGCATATATCCCCAGCTGACCACCTCTCTTGCCTTGAAATTCTGGCCTACAGCAATGCCCCCCTTTTGGACCTCTTCCCTTCAGCCAACACATCCCACCCTAGTCCACCCCTTTTTTCCAAGTCTACCCTGCATTCCCAAATGCACCTCTAGCTCAACGCCTAATCCAGCCACCATTTCCATGTCAGAAACCTTATGGTCTCAATGATCTCTATACCTTTTTATCCCTTGTATCCTATCAGACCCTCTCCTCTCTCATCTCAGATGGCCACCATTATGGGTCAGACCACAGCAATGATACCCCAAGTGATTTCCTTCCCCTAACCCCTTCCTCCCCACCTCCCCTGCCAGGCTGCACAAGGGTCCTCAAATGGCCCATGAATGTGTCACTTGGCTTTTTGAGCCTCCCTACTGCCTCCTGCTTGGGCCTCCCATGACCTGGCTCAAAATACCCCTTCCTCTGTACCCTGTCACTAGCCCTTAGACCAAAAGGGACAACCTGTCATCCTTAGAAAACCTTGAGATTCCCACCTAGGCCCTTCTCTCTTTCTAACTCCATATCGGTCAAGATCAAGCTTGAACGCTTTCCCCTCTGTCACCACATCAAGAACATGACAGAAATGCTCCACTACTGACGGTGGTCCTATCTACTCACCAGGAAGAGATGCTGTGTCTTAGAGGGTTGCAGCTTTACCTTACACCTCAAAGTCCCGTGGCTGACTGCACCACTTACAAACCACATGACTCCAGGCACTTAGCTCATTTATCTACAGGCCTTCCTTAGCTTTTTTCCTTACCACCATGACCGCCATGAAGTCAAGAAAGCCTCCTCTTCTGGGACTGGCTGTGAGGATTAAATCAGCCCCTCTGCCCTGCTGGGTGGAAGCGTAAGCAGCTACACCTACTTATCAAGCACTATCTAAGGAACTAAGCTAGGTGCTGAGAGGAATGTGAATAAATATCAAGCAATTCCCTGCTCTGAAGGAGCACAGCTCAGACAGCGATGCATTCAAGACCACACATCACAGTCTTTTTCATAAAGCAATCACTAGTCGTGACCAAATGCCCACCTTCAAGGGACTGGGTACTGTGGCGCAGTGATTCCCCGCATTAGCCAACTAGATGGGCCACCTGGAACTCAAGCTAGTCACCAGTGTAGAGAAACTTCAGAGCTGCAGAGACCAGCATGCTGAGGGTACACACAGTACAATTTCATTTACAAAAAACTTTAAAAACACATAAAATACTGTCCAGTATTGCTTACAGGTATGTGTTCAGGTATAAAATAGTATAGACACATTACAGGAATTCAAAGTCACGATTAAAAGGGCATGTTTTATTTCCTTAAAAAAACGTCAAGATAAAATATTAGGATCTGAGAGATGTGTGCCATATATGCAGTTACTGATGTAACTACACAGAACTGCTGGGTCATTAAAATGTTCATGGATATTTGTCACTTTAATGGGTATCAACAAATTGCCCTCCATTAAGGCCGCACCAATTTATTCTCCCACCACCAAGTATGAGAACCTGATTCCAACCAGTAACTCACCAAGTGTTTTTTAGTTTTTAATCTTTGCTGACTTAGATGAAAAACAGCATTTCTCAGTGTCACATTTCTGTAATTGACAAAGTGTCAAGAAATAAAGAATTAAGTATCCTTTGTGATTCCTTTCCCATGCCTGTTTTCTGAAATAAAGAATGTACTCGGGTGCTTGCTCAGCGGCACCCTAGTTCTCCTATCCATCTTACCGAGGTTACTCTATCACAAACCCCCTCCCACCCCTAGCACTCCCCATTCCAATCGGCACAGGAATAATCTAATCATTGTGTTCAAAGCTTTAGGGCGAAGTCCTTATGGCCCCAGTAGATACAAACTGAAGGACGTAAGATGAATTCTTACGAAAACACATACGACTGGGCCAAAGGCATTTCTGAATTTTCAACTGAACACCATTCGGTGAGTAGGCGACCCTCAGCACCCCGTAGCGCCCCACAACAGTGTCTGCCCTCAGCGAGCCCCAGTCCTTGCAGTATGAAGCAAGGTCTCCAACAAAGGGAAAGGAGAGGGGGAAAAAAGGGGGTCGGGGGGAGAGGGGCGCGCGGGAAGAGGAAGGCGCGGGTCCCGGGCTCTGCAGGGGCCTTCGCAGGGACGGCGGCTCCGATGCGCTCTGCAACGCGCCTCCCAGAGAGCAGAGCGGGGGCACCTCGCCGCGCCGGGCCTGCGGCCGCCCCACGGCCGCCCGGCGCGAGGGGGGCCCCGGCAAGGAGCGCGGGACCGAAGGTGGGAGCGGCCCCGCGGCGCCGGCGCGCCCAGACCTGCGCACAGTCGGACCTGGAGACCGAAGCTTCGGCACCCGGAGATCTTGCCCCGACAGCGCGACCTCCGGCTTCTGTCAGGAAACCACGAAAGCTGCGGAGGCCGGGCTCCCCGCTTCTGCCTCCAGACCCCGATCCTCAGCGCGGCTGAGGAAACTGAGGCTCGCAGGCCGAAGACCAAGGTCATGCCGGGTGGCGGCAGCCCTGTCCCGCCCGCACGCCTGTTGCAGGACCCGCCCGCGCAGCGCCGAGGGTCGAGGCCGGGAAGACCGCCCTCAGAACCGCCGCGGACGCCAGGGCCGGCCCGGAGATCAGGCGGCCGCCGGGCCCCGCAGCGGCGGGCAGGCCGCGGACCTCGGCGAGCGCCAGCTACCGGTCCGGGCGGCGCCCGGGGGTCTCGCGCGCCGCGCCCCCGCCACGTCAGGCCGCGGGATCGCCTCAGGCCGCCAGCCCCGCGCCTTCGGCCCGCGCCCGCCCCCACGTCCCTGAGCGCCTCGCGCGGCTCGCACAGGCCCCGCCGCCGCCGCCTTCCGCTCGCCGCCCGCGCTCCCCGCCGCCCGGCCCGCCCGGCCCGCGCCTTGCGTTTCACCTGGTGCCGCAGCGAGCCGAGGCCGCACTCGCGGGAGGAGGGGGCGGGGCGGCCAGCCGCGGGGCGGGGCCTCCAGCGTCACGTGGCCTCGACGCGCAGGCGCTGGGCGGGCGCGGGCACGCGGGGCAGGCTTCCATCTCGGCTCTGCGGACAGAGGTCCCCGTTGCCTGGGTGACCGTGTGTCTCCGCACGTGGCACAGCTCCTGGCACCTGGCGGGGCTGAACGAATGGATGAGTGAATAAATGACGGTTGTCACTTGGCGGGGGCGCGCCCTGTAAACCCATTTCCCTCTTCGTTTCCTCTGTCCCTCCCCCAATCCCTCCTAACTCATTCTCACACATTCAGACCCTCTCTGCTTCCCCCCTCCCTGTCATTCCCTTCCCGTCACCACCTCTCTCATTCTCCCATTCATTCTCCCTCCCTCTCGGGCCCTTAGGTCTGCGGGGCTCTGCTCGTCGCCTGCCCTCTGCTGGGTGCGGAGAGAAGAGACGAACTCAGGCAGTGTGAGCAGGTGTTTTTCTGTTAACGGAGGTTCTGAAGTAAATCCAGTTCCCAGCCCAGGCCCAAAAGCAGTCCGCCGGGCTTTTGGCATTCACCTCCAAGAGGATCCCGTCCTCGGAGGGTCGTCCGTAAATGGTCGCGTCCAGAGATTAGAGCCAGCAGAGCCTCCATAGGAGGAGTCAGGGTGACTTTCGCTGCCGTTTTGAGAGGGTGGGGTGAACTGTGCATACAGGATGTAACTAGAGCGTAGCTCCGTGGTTAAAAAAAAAAAAAAAAAAAAAGAAAAAAAAAAAAAAAAAAAAAGAAAAAAAAAAAAAATTATACTGGCTGAGCCCAGAAAGCTGCCTGAGGTCAGCAGAATGGGACAAGCCTCCAGGAGCAGAGGTTCCCAGTGGGAGTGGGCTTCCGGGATGCTTTCTGGAAGAGGTGCTCCTCCAGCTGTGTAACGGATGAGGACTTCTGGGGAATGGGAAAAGTCTTCCAGGAGGCGGACAGTGTCAGCAGAGCCATGGAGGCGAGATGTAGGAAAGTGAGTGGCTGCCTGAGTTTCTGAGCCTGAAGGGCAAGTTGAAAACCAGACCCTGCTCTCTCAAAGTGCACGTGGCCCTGAGGGCAGCCTCAGCCAGGGTGGGCAGATGCCAATGTGGGTTGTGGGCAGAGTGAGGACAGAGGGTAGTGCCAGCTGGAAACCTGGTAAGTAGGTGAGGAGGGGGGGGAGCCCAGGAGATGGGGAGGGACAGTGGGGCTACCTAGTGACAAGAAAGCTAGAGCAAGTTTAGAGGAAGACGAGGCCCACCTTGGCCCCAGGCAGAGTAAGGAGGCTGCAGATGCCCAGCTGAAGGCCTTTCTGGGGAATCTGGCTGGAGACGAGGTCATGGGCATATCATGCACTTCGGCCAGAGGGGACACATTGAGCCAGAATAAGTGTGAAGGAGAGTGGACTGAGGACAGAGCATGAGGACATTTGTGTTCCAGGGGGCACCCAGAGAGCAGGAACCCTCCGAGGGAACAAGGGAGGAGTGATAAAGGCACAATGGGGCCAGGCGGTGCCAGAGGGGAGAAGAGGCAAGGCCGGTGGATCTGGGATAGGGAGTCCTGTGGTATATCCACAAGAGCCCCCTCCTCAGAGTGGCAGAAGCTGGTGTGACAAGGTGGGATAGGAAGACTGCAGGTGGCCTCTGGGATAGGACAGATGGTACCACAGCTTGAGGGGAGAAACTGGAGACGAGCGCCTACGGGGATGGAAGGAAGAACTGATGGGTGGAGAGAGTGATGGAGAGAGAGGGAGAAAGCGGGGAGCAGGTGGGTTGGGTGCCGGCCAGGACTGAGGTGAGAGGGTATTGCCCAGTCTGCTCTGAGAAAGAGGGCCCATCATCTCAAAATACACCCAGATCAACTTAGTGGCTCCCCAGCTGGAAAGTTCTAAAAAAGAGGAGTGGCAAGAGAGGAGGTGGTCTCAGAAGCTGTGTTGTGCAGGGTGATGTGGTGGAGCATGGCTGTGTTTTCTTGCTAGGAGATCCTCCATTCCCCAAGGGTATGAACTTCCTCTGCTCCTTTATGGCTGTATTTTTAGTATTTAGAACAGGGCTGGCACTCAACAGGTGCTGAGTAAATGCAAGTAGAGGGAATAGAGACATGAGAAGCAAAGAAACTGGTTAAAGGACTGATAATAGACTTTTGAAGCCTCAACCCCATGGAAGATGTCTCGGAAAGAGACACACTGAACTACAAAACAGTGTGATCACAGCCACTAAACAACAACAACAAACAAGTGAGGAAACTTTTGCAATAAAATTGCCAGCAAGTACCAAATTGTGTATAAAAAATTCACACAAAACAATACGATATTAAGAGCCCAACAGTTAAATGGAAATGGACATGACTAGGACATCATGGACATGACATCCTCTTTTTTTATCGGAAGAGGCTGAACAGGATAAAGAGGCACAAAATCCCAATTTCTAAGTCACATGGATGGAAGGACAGCATAAGGAATATAGGAATATAGTCAATAATATTGTATTATCTTTGTGCATTGACAGTAACTATACTTACTGAAGTGAGCCTTTAATAATGTAGATAGCTGTTGAATCACTATGTTGTATACCTGAAACTTATACAGTGTTGTATATCAACTATCCTTCAATTAAAAAGTTTATAATTAAAAAAAAAGATGAACAAAAAACTCAATACCTGGGAGAAGCATTGTGGGCAAAACTGCAATATTTCCAGAATATCTTGCCTGGCTTTAGTACATCTGCATATCAATAGGCGTTCAGAGGTGGAAAGAAGTATGGCTTTAGTGCATTTGCATCATTCCTCAGGGGTGGAGAAGTTAATCTCCATATCACTGGGTAATTACCTGGGCAACTGGAAGGCTTATCTGTACCTGAGAGGGGAGGAGGACGGCCAATTTTGCTTCTGCTGGAGCAGGAGAGAGAGCCACCCCAGGACTGCAGCTTGTGGGCAATGAACGGATTTTAAACTTTATTTCTCCCTTTGACTGATTTCGGTTTTTAGAGCTATTTTGCCCTGGAATTTCTTCTCCCTGGACTTAATAAGCATCAACATCAGAAAAGTAAAGGAAATGCAAATAAAAATATGTCAGTGAATATATTTGAACACATATAATGGAAAAAGGATTATTATCCAGAGTATATAAAAAACTTCTAAGAGTCACTAATTAGAAAGTCAACTGGCCAGGAAAACGGTAAAGGGACATTAATTGGAAACAGTAGGGAATGGCCCAGAAAATATAAAGAAGACTTCAGCCTCATTAATAACCAGGAAATGCAAATGATACAATGCATTTTCACCTATTATTAAGGAAAAAATTGTTTTGACACTTGTTAAAAAAGAAAAACTTAACACTATTGCAGTAGGAGCATGCCAGTATGGAAAGAGATAGGGCTCGACTCTGAAAACAGCAAAGACAGCTGGGGATTTATAGCCAAGGAGCAGACAGAGGGGGCTGGTGGATAGAAAATTGCTAAGAAGAGACATCAAAGGAGGGGGATTCTTGCTAAACTGGCCTAACAAGATAACCAAAGGTGGGGAATGAAGATTTGATCAGATTTCAAGCCTGGGGAGCATTCTCCTGACTTAGCAGAATCCTTTGCTGTAAATGAGCCAGGCAGGCCAAAGGGGCCAAGGTCAAGGCCTAGTCAAGAAGAGGATGCAAAGTGATGCCGGAGATCTCGTTGGCGGAGTCGAAAAATGAACTTCACAAACACTCAAGGTAGAGCAAGGCAGAGGCTTTTATTTAGAGGGAAAGCAAGAGGACAGAGCTCCTGGCTCAGGCCAGGAGGGGACGAGAGAGCCCCAGGGTGGTGTGCTGTCTAGGGGTTTCATAGGCGGTTGGGAGACAAAGGGATAGGGATGTACACCTGCTAAGTGGTCCCCAAATGTTTATCTTTGAAGAGACGTTAAGTTTATTAGTCTTCCTGGTTACTTACAAGAAATTTACTGCTCTGATTTCCTCCCAGGATAGCAGCTTCCTGGTCAGGGAGCATATCACTCAAGACTGCCTGCTTTGCTCCCAAGGTGGGTTGAGTTATTGTCTGCTTGTTAAAGAGTATGTTAAGAAAGTTACTTTTTAACAAATTGGTTTTTAAAATGCATTCCTATTTTCCAGATGGAATCCTTCCCGTTTGTTTTGGCCTTGCTTGTTAAATTGCCCAGGTAGCAAATCACTTGACTAGGGCTGGAGGACGAAAAGCAGCACCTGGGTAAAGTCAGAAAAATAAACTGGGCCCCCCAGCAGGCCAAAGCAAATCAATGGATTAACTTGCTTTGTTTTTCCCAGAGGCCCTCAGCCTACTGTTTTTCCCAGAAGCCCATGGTCCTGTCTCAAAAGGAGCTGACTAAGGCTTGGACAAGGAGACTCTGTCATCATCAACATGGCAACATGTAAAACAGGATGAGATCAAGGGCCGGTTGGTGAGAGCGGGAACTGATGGGGATGTAAACTGGAACGGCCCTTTTGGAGTGTACGGTTTGTAGACAGGTCTGCAGATTCTGACTCCTCCCTTCAAATGGTGAGATCCAATCTTTCTCCCTCTGAACGGGGGCTGGACTTAGTGAGTAGCTTCTAAGTAGCAGAGTGAGGCAGAGTAAAAGCATGTACTTTTCAAGGTCGCATCATAAAGGGCATTGCAGTTGTGGCTTACCGGGTCTTCAATTAAGTGAGCTGCAGTGTCATGCAGACAGTCCAGCAACCCGGAGGAGAGGCCTCCATGGAACAGACACCTTTGTCAAAACCAGCCCCAACCTGCCAGCTCTGAGTGGGCTACCATGGAAGCAGAGCCTCCAGTCCCAGCCAGGTCTTCATAGGTGTGTGAAATACTCCCACTGGTCCCAACTCAAGAAG